TGCCCAGGGCACTGCAGTTATTCCTAAATATGTATTCCCAAAAGGTTTCTGGCCAGCAGAGTGGCTGGCTTGGCCCCTGTGCTTCCCAATATTCTGGATTTGCCTGGGAATGTGCCTCCATCCCCTGCAGGATGCATTCCTGGGGTGCTGAGGGTCCCCAGCTCACCAGGAGCACCCCCAAGGTGTCAGCTTAATGCCTGGGTGGCTCTTTGGGATGCCAGGCCACAGGAATGTGGGATCTGAGCAGCAGCTTCATGTCCTGGGGTCCATGTCTGCATTCCAAGGGGGGTTATGGATCCTCTTGGCTGTTTTCCTCAGGGTAGGGGTAGGAAGGGTGGCTGTGGTGGGGCTCAGCTCAGCTTCCATGACGTTCTTGTCCACAAATGCAGCCTAAATGTCAGAGAACAGGATCTTCTTCGGGCTGTTTGTTTGGGTCCTGTTTGGCATCCACAAATAATAGCCCTAAAAATAGGCTGGTGAGATTCCTTGCTAATCTTTGGGGAGGGGGTTTTGCACGGGGATGTGAGGCAGGCTGGGAATGTCCTGTGGTTTTTGGTGATGCAGAGAAGTTTGTGTGGGAAGGGGGAGCTGGAGGAGCCCCTCAGGTGAAGGACACCTGGGGTTTGTCCCCAGTGACCTGTGCAGCTCCTCAGATGCCACATCCAGCTGTCTCATGCCTGTGGTGCTTGTAGTGCCTCTGGCACTTGCCCTCAGAGTCAGCTCCTAATTTTATCTCCTTCCCCACACGATGACAGCCAGCGTGACACAGCAGAGCAGAGGGGGTGACATCAGCACACGGATGGATCCGTGCAGAGCAGCAGCAGGGATTTGATTTTAATTAAAAATGAGCAGTGCCAAGGTGATTCTGCTTTTAAAGCGGTGCAGTGATCCCTGTCACGAGCTGTGAGGCTGCTCAGGGCTGGGGCTGTGTCTGCATGTGGTGTTCAAACACTCCATTCCTCCAATTCCAAACATCCCAGCAATGAGCGCTGAGCTGCCTGGAAAATGCAGAGTCAGTGCCTGTGTTTAGAAGAAAACACAATTTCTGACACACCAAGAGGTGTGTGAGGTGGGGAGGGAGTGCTCCTCACTCACCTCACTGCAGCTGAGGTGAGGAGCTGCTTTTGCCCATCTATTTAAACACAAAAGGAGATTTTTCCTAACCAAAAGTTCACTGGGGGCAGCTGGAATCCCCTCAGCAGTGCCAGGAATTCTGTGGATCCTGCAGAGGCTGGGGTGGCAGGGAGGGGTTCGTGTGTGATTGGTGTCAGGGGTTGGTTTTTGCTATTCTGCCAAGGTCCCTTTGTGTGTTCTGCACGGAGCACAGTGCTCCCATCAGCTGCTGAGGCTGGAATTTAGGGGATTTATTTGATATTTTACTGCTCCTGGCTTTGCTCCTTGTGCCAGCCTGGTGTGGGCACAGGCCCAGGGCAGGGCCAGGCCCCTGTGCTGAGCCCTCGTGGAAAGAAGGACCTGGAGGGGCTGGAGCGTGTCCAGGGATGGGAATGAGGTTTTGGAAGGGTCTGGAGTCCCAGCAGAGGCTGAGGGAGCTGGGCAGGGGCTCAGCCTGGAGCAAAGGAGGCTCAGGGGCCCTTGTGGCTCTGCACAGCTCCTGACAGGAGGGGACAGCCCAGGGGTCGGGCTGTGCTCAGGGAACAGGGACAGGAGCAGAGGGAACGGCCTCAGGCTGGGCCAGGGCAGCTCAGGGTGGGCACAGCAGGAATTTCTGCATGGAAAGGGGGCTCAGGCCTTGGAACTGCTCAGGGAGGGTTGGGGTGCCCATCCCTGGAGGTGGCACTCACCAGGCTGGGGACAGGGTGGGCTCAGTGATCTTTCCCAGCCTCCCTGACCCCGTGTGATCCCTGGTGAGGAGCTCCCCAAGCACAGAGCTCTGGTTTATGGTCCAGCACCACGTGTTTGCTCCCTGCCCACTGGTAGTTTGGGGGTTTGGAGACAAAGGCACCAAGAATTTTGCTGGAGGTGACCTGCTCCAGAGTGAGAAAAGCAAAACAGGCTGTGAAGGAGTTGGGATGGTTTTGAAGGATTCCTTGGATAAGTTTTTGTGTCGAGCAGAGCAAAGAGCTTCATTTTCCTGTGGCAGGGGAGGCTGCAGATTGTGTTGGAGTGTGTGGGGCTGTCTGGCAGCGCTGGGGCTTGGTGACAATGCCATGAATCACCTGTTCTCAGTGCTGAGGTGGAGGTGACACCCTGCAATTGCAGCATCTCCCAGTCAGACCATGGCTGTGCAGCCCTGGGGCTCGGCTCAGAGCCCCCAGTGCTTCAGGAACAGCCCCAGGAGCAGCAGCAGTGCAGGAACAGGCTCAGAGCTCAGCTCAGAGCCAGCAGAAGTGCAGGAACAGCCCCAGGGCTCAGCTCAGAGCCTCCAGTGCTTCAGGAACAGCCCTGAGCTCTCCTCAGAGCCCCCAGCAGTGCAGGAATGTGACTTTTGCCAGGCCACCTCTCATCTGCTGGGAAGGAGGTGGTTCAGAGCAGAACAGAGCCTTCCCCAGGGCTGCCATGTGGCTTGTGTCACCTCTGTGCCCACAGTCCCAGCTGAGGGCTCAGCAGCCCTGTTTTTATTCAGTGTGAAATTATTTGAGAAGCTCCTGAAGTGTTTCCCCCCTTTCCACCCCGTTTTCTTGTTGTCCCTCTCCCCCATATGCTGAAATATTTAATGGGGATATTCCAGGAGGGCCATGAGCTGAAAATGTGGTTTCAAGACCACAATGTCATCATCTGGGCTGGCTCAGTGAGGAGCCAACCCCTTCCCCTCATTTGGCTTTCATTGTTTGCCACCAGCTGCTCCACAGCATCTCCATCCTCAGCAGGATATCCACTGCTCTCAGAGGGCAGGAGGCAGCTCTCACACATTCCCTCCCTCCTGAGCAGTGCTGGAATGGGATTTTCCTCCCTCCCAGCCCCCTTGGAGAGGAAGGAAGCTGCCTGCAGGTGTTGGCCCTCCCCAGGAGGCTCTGCCTTGTGAAGCTCTGCCTGGTTTTGTTACCTCCCAGGACAGACTCGGGTGAGGAAACTCAACCTCCCACCCACCTTTTATCTTCCTGAAATTATTTGTTCCCTTCTAGGTGGAGGTGTATGACCAACAGCCAGCTCTGTGGTTTGGCATCTTGTAGTGACTTGTGCTCCTTCCCTGCTCACAGGGGCAGGGGATTTCTGTCCAAACCCGTTCCCTTCCCGAGCTGTGCCCGCTGTGGTTCCTGCAGGCAGCAGGGGGAGGCAGCCAGGCCTCAAAGCAGAGCAGCTGCCTCCTGCCACAAGTTTGGAATTTCCTTCTGTAGTGCCAGTTATCAGCTGCCTAAACTGGGACACTCTCAGGTAGTGTTTTCCCTCCTTCCTTTGTGACTAAATCAAACACAAAAAGCTGTTTTGGAGCCTCTTTTAACGGAGCTGTCGTGAGGACCTAAAAATTGTGAGGATCTAAAAATACCGGTGGGGTTGGGGCAGGTCACCTGCAGGGGGGTTGAAACCTGGCTTTGTCCTCCTCTTTAGCTGAGTTTTCTCTGTAATTGCTGTGGTTGCAACACCTGGGCAGCCTGGCAGGGGTGGCTGCCAGCCTGGGCAGGGCTGACACGCTCAGACCCGGCTCTGTGGGTGATGAACACGTCTCTGTGCCCACGGGTGACTCGGTGGATGGTAAAGGAAAGGCAGGAGCAGCCCAGGGAGGTGTGGGGCAGGGCAGGGCCTTCTCCTGGCAGGAATGTGGCCCTGCTGGCCAGCCCTGCCCCCGGCCTGGGCTCAGCTTCCCTGGATCGCCCAGTGTCACAGACATCTTTTCATGAAAATCCTTTTCTTGGGATTTTTTCTTCCTGAAAAGCTGAGAGGCCTCAGGAACAAAATGCAAACAATGGTTATCTGCTGCTGTGGAATGCAACAGGTGCATCTGGGATTGGTCTCATGTGATTGTTCCTAATTAATGGCCAATCACAGTCAGCTGGCTCGGACAGAGAGTCTGAGCCACAAACCTTTGTTATTATTCCTTTCTGTTCTTAGCTTAGCCAGCCTTCTGAGATGAAACCTTTTCTTCTATTCTTTTAGTATAGTTTTAATGTAATATATATAATTAAATAATAAATCAAGCCTTCTGAAAATGGAGTCAGATCCTCATCTCCTCCCTCATCCTAAAACCCCTGTGAACACGGTCACAGCCCTGCCTGTGGCCACTGCTGCTCCAATGCCTGGCAGGTTTGGCCTGATCCCTGCCTGGATCCAGGAGTACTTGCTGTGGAATTGCTGTGGAATTGCTGTGGGGTTTTACCCTCACAGGTGGTTTTTTGCCAGCTGAGGTGGTTAAAATGAGCGATGAGTACTCGGCACCTGTCGCAGACATCTTTATATGAAAATCCTTTTCTTGGGATTTTTTCTTCCTGAGAAGCTGAGAGGCCTCAGGAACAAAATGTAAACAATGGTTATCTGCTGCTGTGGAATGCAACAGGGGCATCTGTGATTGGTGTCATGTGCTTGTTTCTAATTAATGGCCAACCACAGTCAGCTGGCTCGGACTCTCTGAGCCACAAACCTTTGTTATCATTCTTTTCTATTCTCAGCCAGCCTTCTGATGAGAACTTTTTCTTCTATTCTTTTAGTATAGTTTTAATGTAATATATATATCATAAAATAATAAATCAAGCCTTCTGAAATATGGAGTCAGATCTTTGTCTCTTCCCTCACCTGAACACCCCTGTGAACATGGTCACAGGCATCAGCAGCCTGCTGTGGGTGTGCTGCTGGTTACAGCAAAATACTCCTGGTGGTTTTGCTTTTCTCATGGGTTATCCATGCTGGCTTTCCTTTTCTCTGCCTCTTGATTCCCAAATCATCCTTAGATGGAACCACACACTCCCTCCCTCCTTTAGAGATTGGTGTTCGGATCACTGAAATTAAATGTGTGCCCAAACAGGCTCAAACTCCGACCTCCAAACTGAGATTGGTCTTCACTATATTAAAAACTTTGTGGGTTTACTTTTTTTCTCCTTCTTTTCTAGGAAATAGACAGACGGTTGGAAAAGAAGCTGAAGATCACGCAGAAGGAAAGGTAAAATCCTGATTTCCCTGAGGTGCTGTTGGACAGCTGAGGGCCTGGGGAGTGGGAGCAGTGGGGAAGCAGCTTCAGACTGAGCCGGGAGCGCTGGGTTGGGGTTGAGGGTTGAGAATCAGGGAGTCCCTGTCTCTGTGCCGCTAGGTGGCCCTTGGGAGCCGCGGGAGAAAGCTGAGAGTGCTCTGATTTCAGAGCTGGCTCCTCCAGACTGGGTGAAGCTCCAGCTTGGGGGAAGCCAAGTGAGAAAGAGGGGAAGAAATGGCTGAGTCAGGTAATGCCAGCTCCTGGCTCTGGACTGACTCGCTGTGTCTTGCATCAGGCACAATTTCTCTTCCTGCTTCCTTTGGGCCTGGGCAGGGCTGTGTTATTTTCTCCTACCAGAAACTTTTTAAATCACTGCTGACAAGTCCTTTGTTGTTGGGTTTTTTCCCCTTTGATTATTAGAGAGTCATGGGATTTATCCTCGGGAGTTCCATGCAGAAAAGGGACTGTGAAACATTGAGATGGTGAGCTGGGGCTGAGGCTGGCTCTGAGGAGTGAAATGGCAGGGTTGGAGTGACAGGCTGGGTGACCTGCTGAGAGGGGCCCTAGAAATCCTTGCAGGGAATGAAATCAAGGTGCTTATACCAATATCTTCAATAGAAATGGTGAAGTGTCCCAGACATCTTTTATGAAAAATCCTTTCCTCAGGATTTTTCCTCCTGAGAAGCTGAGAGGCCTCAGGAACAAAATGTAAACATTGATTATCTGCTGCTGTGGAATGCAGCAGATCTTTGATTGGCCCATGTTGGTTGTTTCTAATTAATGGCCAATCACAGTCAGCTGGCTCGGACAGAGAGTCTGAGCCACAAACCTTTGTTATCATTCTTTCCTATTCTATTCTTAGCCAGCCTTCTGAGGAAATCCTTTCTTCTATTCTTTTAGTATAGTTTTAATGTAATATATATCATAAAACAATAAATCAAGCCTTCTGAAACATGGAGTGTTATGGTTTAGGCCTGGCAAAGCCAGGGCCCCCATAAATATACCTTTTACCTGATATCTGCTGTGAGATGTGGCCAGGAAATAAGCAAAGCAGGCTCCAACTTAAACATAAAGAGAAGTTTATTAACTAAACTACACACACAATTACTAAACTACACACACACACAGGGGAAAAAAAAACAAGGAGAATGAAAACTACACAGAAACACTTCCTTATCCTCCTCCCACCAAATTCCCAAACACATTTACATTTCCCAAAAATTATCCACACTCGGTCTGGCACCACCCTTTGGAAAAAAAAATCAAATCTTCAGCTCATAAGGGATAGACGGAGTCCTTCCTTGTGCCACGGACTTCTTGTCACAATCAGCAATCCGCCCGGTATCTTGCTATCTCGTGACATCTCCTTTCCATGCCGAGGTGCTCTCACCACCTGGCATGGGATGGGGCAGGGGCCTGCCTTCAGGGCCTTTTAAGAATGCCTCGTCTCGTTCCAAGTAGAGTACAGTCACAATCCTGGGACCTCTGTCCCCCCCCCCATGTCTTCTATACCCCCTGGGGCCGAGGGGTCTCAAAACCAAACTCTCTTGACGCCGAGCCTCCGCTTCCCCCTGCAATACAGCCTCTGCATCACCAGGAAACAGTCCATGGAAATACAACAAAAAAGAGTCCAGCAAAAACTGCCACTCCATCTTCCTCCATTCCTTCAACATCTCTCTTCTCCCTTTGCCAGACCCTCCTTACTGGCCTGATTTTCTTCCTTCATCTTCCACTCCTGTCCCTTTCCCAGGAAAAGCAATGTTCTGCGAAGCCTTCATTCCCCAAAGGGTTAAAAGTTCTCCCAGGCGGCCGGACTGCCCGCTGCCCCCCCCTTTCTCCTCCCAGCCGTGCTGCCTGCCGGCACATGATATCAAGTTTCAAGATATACAGTTCGAGCACGGGCTGCATTCTCTGGGGGGGGGGGGAATAAACTGGTCGCTCAAGGGTCTGCCACCCTTCCTCCGAACCCGGGCCTACCGTAGATGGCCCACGTGGCTCTCCCCTCCCCCAGCCCAGCCAGAAACTGGGCCGGGGGAGAGACTTCTTCACGCCGGAAATCCCAAGAGGGCTCCGAAGGCCAAGAGCCCTGCTTTTAACCCCTTGAGTTCGTAGTCTCAAGAGGCGGATCCAAATGTCCCACTGGTCAAACTAAATGCCCATCTTAAATTCCAATTACCCATTGGTAATCACAGCAAAACAAAATATCCCAGATGTCCCATTTGCGGTCAAACCACGACATGGAGTCAGATCCTCATCTCTTCCCTCAGACCCCTGTGAACACGGTCACAGTAAAGCTCTGCTGAAGGAACAGTCCCTGTTTCCATTCCTTCAGCAGAGTTTAAATGTGACCATGCTCACAGGGGTTTTCAGGTGAGGGAAGAGACGAGAATGTTGACTCCATGTTTCAGAAGGCTTGATTTATTATTTTATTATATATGTTACATTAAAACTATACTAAAAAGAATAGAAGGAAAAGTTTCATCTCAGAAGGCTGGCTAAGCAAAGAATAGAAAGTAATCAATAATAAAGGTTTGTGTCTTGGACAGAGAGTCCAAGCTAACTGGGCTGTGATTGGCCATTAATTACAAACAACCACATGAGACCAATCACAGATGCCCCTGTTGCATTCCACAGCAGCAGATAATCATTGTTTACATTTTGTTCCTGAGGCCTCTCAGCTTCTCAGGAAGAAAAATCCTAAGAAAGAATTTTTAATGAAAAGACACTGTGACATTTAATGGTGTCACACACAGCAGGGACTGATTTTCCATCTCTTTCCAAGCTATCCACTGCTCCTCTTTAGAGTTACAACTATAACGAGGCCTTTAATTATTGCAGGCTGCTCTTAATCACAGGAAGGCCATGCAGCCATGAGGAATTCACACACTGGGCTGTCACTCTGGTTTTTTAAGATTTTTTAAACTTTTTAACGTTGACATTTTTGTAGTGAACTTTCTCTGTAAATAACTCATTGTTTTGCATTCCTTTATGGAAGAGGAGAAAGTTGATAGACTGTTAGTCTGTCCAGTGTCATTGGAGAGGTGGCACTGTCACCCTCCAATCCACTGTCACTCTTAGAAAACTATAAATGTTACAGTCAGAAAATAAAGTCCCTAGAACAGCGGAGTGTGCTTGTGTTTTTTCGTGTCCTATAGCAACACCGGGCAGCAAACCCCCGTGGCAAGCACTCACCTGTGGGATCTCAGCACAGCAGTCCTGATGTGCAGAGTCACCGAGACAACCCTTGGGGGGCTCAGAGGTCCTGGAACGTTGCCAGAAGTGTCTGGTGGCTGGACTTTGATCCTGCACAGGAGACGACACCTGTGTGAGGATGGGAGGATCTCACGGGGATAAATGGTGAAGGGATGGGTTAATTATAGTGTGAAACACAGGTTTTAGAATTTCTGTACAGGGGGGTCTAGAGAAACAAAATGGAGGAATTGGGGCGTGTCCTGTCCTTCTTCTTCTTCTTCTTGGCCTCCATCTTCTGTGATGGTGGTGGCACTTTGGAATTGGTTCTTACTAAAAATGCACTTGTCAATGAGGGTGAAAGGCATTGGGGAAAATAGGTAAATATCTTACACGTAGTTTTGGGTATAAAGATAAGTGACCGCCCCGAGGGCTCTCAGTGTGTCCATGGCTGACGTGCTGTGCAGACCTCTGTCGGGCCGGGAGAAAATCTTGTAGATAAAAACTGATAAACACTGAAGAGCGAGAAAAAACCTGAAGACTCCTTTGGTCCTTTGGAGCGCAGGCTGTCCCAAGGCCATCCCGAGCCTTTCCAGGCCATCAAAAACAGCCGAGAACGGGACACTCACCAACCCCTTGTTTTCCTTCCCAAACAGCAGAAAGTCCAAATCTCCTCCCAAAGTGCCGATCGTGATCCAGGACGACAGCCTTCCCGCGGGGCCGCCGCCGCAGATCCGCATCCTGAAGCGGCCCACGAGCAACGGCGTGCTGAGCAGCGCGCACCCCGCCAGCCGCCCCGCCTTCCCCGTCAAATCGCTGGCACAGCGCGAGGCCGAGTACGCCGAGGCCAGGAAACGCATCCTGGGCAGCGCCAGCCCCGAGGAGGAGCAGGAGAAGCCCATCCTGGACAGGTGGGAGCAGCTCTGTGGGGCTGGGGAGCTGCTGACTGGTGTTAATGGGGGGTGCAGCCAGGCTGGCACAGGGAGAGGAGGGCTCTGTTAGAGCCTCAGCTAGGTGGGAGTGAGGGAAGGGCCTGGTGAGGCCATGAACCATGGAATTATTGAGGTTGGAAGAGCCCTCCAGCATCACAGAGTCCAGCCATTGACTGGCACTTCTGTGTCATTAAACGTGTCCCTGTCCCACATCTGTGTGTCTTCAGAGCACTTCCAGGGATCCAGGGGCAACCACACCTGTGCCAGGGAGGAATTCTTCCCAATATCCAATCCATCCCTGCCCTCTGGCAGTGGGAATCCATTCCCCCAGGCTCTCATCCAGAGTCCCTCCATCTTTGCTGTTGGCTCCTTCAGGCACTGGAAAGCCACAGTGAGGTCACCCCAGAGGTTCTCTGTTCTAGGCTGAGCAATCCCAATTCCCCCAGCCTTTCCTCACAGCAGAGCTGCTCCATCCCTCTGATCACCTTGGCAGGCTCCTTTGGCCTTGTTCCACGTCCTTCCTGTGCTGGGGACCCCAGAGCCCCTGACAGCGTTCCCGTGGTGCAGGGGTTTCCCCGAGGCACTCGGAATTCCACACCTCATTCAGAATTCCACACCTCATTTGCATGTCCCTGCTCCCGGTGTCCCTGCAGGACCCAGCAGTGTCCCCACAGGCTCAGCTGTGTCCCTGCAGGCCCAGCTGTCCCCCTGTGTCCCCGTAGACCTCAGCAGTGTCCCCACAGGCTCAGTTGTCCCCTCTGTCCCCACAGGCTCAGTTGTGTCCCCACAGGCTCAGCTGTCCCCTCTGTCCCTGCAGGCCCCAGCAATGTCCCCACAGGTCCAGCTGTCCCCTCTGTCCCCACAGGCTCAGTTGTGTCCCCACAGGCTCAGTTGTCCCCTCTGTCCCCACAGGCTCAGTTGTGTCCCCACAGGCTCAGCTGTCCCCTCTGTCCCTGCAGGCCCCAACTATGTCCCCACAGGCTCAGTTGTGTCCCCGCAGGCCCCAGCAGTGTCCCCACAGGCTCAGTTGTGTCCCTGCAGGCTCAGCTGTGTTCCCTCTGTCCCTGCAGGCTCAATTGTGTCCCCGCAGGCTGAGTTGTGTCCCCCTCTGTCCCCACAGGCCCCAGCAATGTCCCCACAGGCTCAGTTCTGTCCCCACAGGCTCAGCTGTCCCCTCTGTCCCTGCAGGACCCAGCAGTGTCCCCACAGGCTCAGTTCTATCCCCGCAGGCTCAGCTGTCCCCTTTGTCCCCGCAGGCTCAATTGTGTGCCCGCAGGCTCAGTTGTGTCCCCACACGCTCAGCTCTGTCCCCTCTGTCCCCACAGGCTCAGCTGTGTCCCCACAGGATCAGTTGTGTCCCCTCAGGCTCAGTTGTGTTCCCTCTGTCCCTGCAGGCCCCAGCTATGTCCCCACAGGCTCAGTTGTGTCCCCGCAGGCTCAGTTATGTCCCTGCAGGCTCAGTTGTGTCCCCGCAGGCTCAGTTGTGTCCCTCTGTCCCCACAGGCTCAGTTATGTCCCCTCTGTCCCCGCAGGCCGCCGCGGATCTCGCAGCCCGAGGACAGCCGGCAGCCCAACAATGTGATCCGGCAGCCGCTGGGCCCCGATGGCTCGCAGGGCTTCAAGCAGCGCAGATAGAGGCGGAGGCGCCGTTCCGCCGGCACGGACACACGGACCCGGGCCAGGGGACCTCCCGGGGTGATTTGCACTGTGACCCTTTTGCTCTGCCCACTGTGACCTTCAGCCCCACGCACTGTGACCTCCCCTCTCCACCCACTGTGAGCGGCCGTGGCGGCAGGGCTGTCCCCCCGCGCGGCCGGGGGACACGAGGGGCCGTGCCGCGCTCGGCCGGGCGCAGGGAGTCGTGCGTGCCCCACTCGGGTCGGAGCGAGCGCCAGCAATAACGTTTGTTGTACTCCAAACCTGGCATTTAAGGAAAAACAAAACAAAACAAAACAAAAAAAAAAAAAAAAAAAAAAAAAAGATGGGAAGCCTCCCCAGCCGCGCATGTTGTCCTCATCACTTCCAGAACGAGTTCTGTTTTTGAGGATTTTTAGGTTCTTTTATTTGGTTTTCTGTTTGTTTTCTGTATCTTGGATCGGCGGAGTGCGTGGGAAGGGTTTGAGCCGTTTGTTTGAATCCAGAGAGGTAGCTGAGTGTTCCGAAGGGAATTCCAATGGATTTCCATGAATGTGATGGCTTGGGGATGACAAGCTCATGTTTCTCCTCCATTTCCACTGCCATGGAAGCGAACTCCTGGATACCCCCAGGTACCTCGGAGTCGGACCCAGTTCACATCCTGCTCCTGTTAAAGCTTGGCTCCAATTCCCTGCTGGCTTTGAGGAGAAGCTTAAAACACATCCTTTATGGGTTCTTTTGTGTTTGGGGAGAAGGGAATGCAGAGTGACCCCGTGCAAATGCCTGCTGTCCGGCCACGGAGGGCCGGCAGTGAAGAATTAGGGAGATGTGAGGAGGAGGAGGAGGAGGAGGAGGAGGAGGAGGAGAGGCTCCGGCGCCGCTGTGGCTCTGACGTCGGGCAGTGGGATATCCCGAGGGGCCGGCCCGGCGGCGCAGGGACGGTACGAGCTCTCCTGGAATGGCAGACCTGGGAACCAGACCAGCCTTGGGGAAAGCCTGGATGATCCCCACATCTCCCTGGAGGCAGCGAGGCTTCAGGGAAGGGATCGTCCTGCTGCGGCTCCCGGGAAGAGGACGGGGAGGCTGCTGCTCCCCAGGAACGGAGATGTTCCCCCGTGGGTGAAGCTGAGGATCACTCGATATCAAGGGATTGGATGAACACTAAATGCTCTTCCTGGAGGGCCAGGACCTGGAGACCTGGGTGGTTCCTGATGGATTCCTGCATCCGGGTGCTGCCTTCAGCAGGTTCGAGGGGGAACGAGCCAATCTTGATGTGCACGAAAAGCCCTGTGTGGAAATGAGGCTGAAATCCCACAGAAACGGGAAAATAGAAACTACCTGTGTATCCAACCCCCGGAACCTCCTCACAGCTGGTTCTGGGTGCGGCGGGATTCCCCCGGGATTCCCCCTGGGATCCTGGGGACTTTTGGGGGATCTCACTCATCCCCTCAGCCTGGGGGCCGGGATGAGCTCCGGGAGGGAGTGGGAGGGAGAAGGCCGTCAGCAATAACTGTAGTCACTGCGCCTTTCCTTAATTATTCCTAAAAATAGCATCGAATAGCCAAAAACCTCCCAAATCCGCCGGATTTCTGGTGCCGCATCGCTGCCTCCTCCGTGGCCGGCACCGAGATCCCAGCTCCGGCACCGAAATCCCCTTTTCCAGCACTGAAATCTCCTTGTCCGGCTGCTCCTGCTGCGTCCCGGCGCCAGGACTCGGTGCCCAGGACACGTCCCGCCCGCGGGCAGGGCTCGGCGGCGTTCCTGTGGGAAGCGCCTTCATCCCCAGGAGGGGGAGGATGGACGCGGTACCCGCGTGTTTCTGCTCCCCCCAGAAAACAAAAAAACAAAAAAAAAAAACGTGCGCCGGAAAGAAAATGTTTTATAAATTGTATTTTAAATAAATGTCTTTAAACTTTTCACGGCTTTATGGCTCCCTTCTTTTTTGTCCTCATGTCTGCCAGGGGTGGCTTAGTGGTGGCTGGTGTGTAAAAATCTGCCAGGAAGGTAAAATCTGGGAGCTTTTGCCCTTAATTTCACCCAAACCCAAGGGATTTTACCCTATTTTTAGGGTGGTTGAAAGGAGTGATCCAAGGAGGGTGGGAAGGGCAATGCTCCAAGGGAAGATGTGGATCCCAAATGTGGATGTGAGTGCTGTCTCTTCCTGAAGGAGAAAAGCAAATCAGTAATTCAACTAATTTAATCAAATGTGAGTATTTTGTTGCTCATGCTGGGCTCCCCCCTGGGTGTTGTGCTCCATAATGTCCAGAGAAGGTGCTGGTTAGAGCAGGCTCAGATTCTTGGGTTGAGGAATCCAGGATCCCTGACAGCTCCCACAGCCCCCGGCTCCCTTGGAATTCTGATGATTTTGATCTATTTACAATAGAAATAATGCAAACATATAATATTAATATATATTATAGAGAAATATTATTAAATATCTAGAAGAAATATATAGTAATTATATAATCTATATTATACAACCCAGTATCTAATACATATATTTTACATATCATATATATATATTATGGAACATATAATACTATAATATATAGTATATAACGCTATAATAGAAATAGATACAAATAGCAGACTCCACTATCTGATTTATAAAATTACCTTATTTATAAAAGCGGTGAAACCTGTGGGTTTTGTGGCTCAGAGCCCGGAGCCGGTTCCAGTTCCCGCAGCGCCCCGCACCGGGTCCTCCCGCCCGCTAGGGGGCGCCTGGGGCGCGGAAGCGCCTCTCTCCGCCGGGCCCCGCCCCGTCCTGGGCGGCCGCGAAGGCACCACCGGGGCACTACCGAGGTACCATCGAGGCGGCGGCGGGGCCGCGATGGCGGCGGAGGAGGAGTACGAGTCGGTGCTGTGCGTGAAGCCGGCGGTGCTCGTGTACCGGGTGCCGCCGCGGGCCTCCAACCGCGGCTACAGGTGGGGCCCGCGCCCGCCCGCGGGGTGTCAGCGCCTCCTGGCGTGGGGGGGCTCCCCCTCTCCCTGCGGGGTTTGTGGGGTCCCCTCCTCTTGAGGTGTGCGGGGTTTGTGGCTCCCAGAGGTGTTCGGGGTGTCTCCCTCCGCGTGGGGCAGCAAGAACTGCTCCTCATGGGGTATCTCAGCCCTTCGGTGAGAAAGCTCAGCCCCCGTGGGTTCCCTCAGGAGGTGTCTGTGCCCCCATCCCACCCCGTGGGCTGTCTCTATCCCCCTGTGTGTTTTGGGGTTCCCTCCGCATCAGTGACCCCCAGCCCAAGCCCGTCCTGCCACAGCCGCCTGTCCCTAACGCAACTTCGGCTCTGGAAACTCCGCGGAAAGGGAACCGAAACCTCCCGCGCAGCTCTTGCCTGCTCCCCGCTCAAACGCAGCAGCTGTTTTGGGGTGAAACGAGCCATTTTGTGACAAACTGCCCCCACCCTGACGCTGTCAGCAGGCAGAGGAGCTCCGTGGGTGCCCCGGGGCAGCACAGGGACTGTGGATGGCACGGGGGCTGTGGCAGGCGCGGGGGCTGTGGACGATACAGGGGCTGTGGGTGGCACAGGGGCTGTGGGTGGCACGGGGACTGTGGGTGGCACGGGGACTGTGGGTGGCACAGGGGCGGCACAGAGGCTGTGTGCAAGCATGGGGGCTGTGGGCAGGCACAGGGGCTGTGGGCGGCACGGGGGCTGTGGGCAGGCACAGGGGCTGTGGGTGGCACGGAGGCTGTGTGAGGCACGGGGGCTGTGGGTGGCACAGGGGCTATGGTGGCACGGGGGCTGTGGGCAGCACCGGGCTCAGGCTCCCTCCTGCTCCCCAGGGCCGCCGAGTGGCAGCTGGACCAGCCCGCCTGGAGCGGCCGCCTGCGGATCACGGCCAAGGGCAGCACGGCCTTCATCAAGCTGGAGGACAAGAGCTCGGGTGAGGGGGATCGCGGGGCTCCGGGCGAGCGGCGCTGCGGGCTGGGCCCGGCGTTACCCGGCCCCTTGCTGTGTTCCAGGAGAGCTCTTTGCCCAGGCTCCGGTGGAGCAGTTCCCCGGCATCGCTGTGGAGGGCGTGACGGACTCCAGCCGATACTTTGTCATCCGCATTGAAGATGGGAACGGTGCGTCCCGCACAGCCGCGGACCCCGCAGAGCCCTCGCTGCTCCTGTTCGGGAAGGATTTCTGCTTCCCGTTGCGGAATGTTCCCCTCCACGGGGGCAGAGGGAGGAGCTGCCTCCCTCCCACGGCTCTGACCTTGGCCCGGAACAAAAACTCTTGGGTTTGGCTGCTCAGCGTTGGCAGGAGGATGCAGGAACACCCCCCTGCTGCCAGTTAATTAAAAAGCTGTTTGTAGTGTGCAGCCAACGAGGTCAAACACCTGGAGAAGGGAGAAGGGAAGGCTCTGGGCTGACCTAATTGTGGCCTTCCAGTCCCTAAAGGGGCTCCAGGAGAGCTGCTGAGGCAGTGGGGATAAGGGCTGGAGGGACAGGACACAGGGAATGGCTTCCACTGCCAGAGGGTAGGGATGGATGGGGTGTTGGGAATTAGGAATTGTTCCCTGGGAGGGTGGGCAGGCCCTGGCACAGGGTGCCCAGAGCAGCTGTGGCTGCCTGGTGTAGAAAACTGATTTTTTACCCTGGCAGTGTCCAAGGTTGAAAAGGGCCTGGAGCTACCTGGGATAGTGGAAGGTGTCCCTGGCCGTGGAATGGAATGGGATGGGATTTACAGTCCTTCCAACCCAAACCATTCCGGGATTCTGTGATCCCCAGTCCTGTGGCTCAGTCTCCAGTGTCCCAGCTCCCTCTGGAGGCAGCGCCAGGCACGGGGCTGTGCAGGATGGGGTATCCCATCCCCATCCCATCCCCATCCCCATTCCCATCCCATCCCATCCCATCCCATCCCATCCCAGTCTCCTCTCCCTGCCCAGGCCGCCGGGCGTTCATCGGGGTCGGCTTTGTGGACCGAGGGGATGCCTTTGACTTCAACGTGGCTCTCCAGGACCACTTCAAGTGAGTTTGTGCCTCTCCCTGTGTCCTCTCAGCTCTGTTTTTGGCAGGTCTCCTCCAGGAGAGATGGAGAAGTGGGAGCTGGGCTGGGCAGCTGTGGTGGGAAGAGGAGGGAGCTCACAGCTTTTCCTCTCTCCAGGGTTTCCCAGCCTGGATCAGCAGCATCCCAAACTGGGCATCCAAATTCCCACTCCAGATTCCCCAATTTACTTCCTCTGCTTCCTGTATCAGCTGTAAGGGGCTGCCCTGGGGGCTGCTCCAGCTGCTGGGGATGGTGGGGTTTTGGAATTTTGGGGTTTTGGGGAGGGATGGATGGATGTGGTGCCAGCTGGGGGATCTGTGGGACTCCAGCAGCCACTGCTGGGAATCATCCCCTGGGTGCTCCCTCAGGTGAGGTCCCAGCTCACACCTTTGCAGAGCTGCTGCCCCAGAGGGATGGTCCTGAGCAGGGTTTATTTGTCTGGGGAAGCCTGGGGCAGGCTGTGTCTCCTTTCCCATGGATTTAATTCCCACAGGTGGGTGAGGCAGCAGAGCGAGCTGGCCCGGCAGGCCCAGGACCTGGCGCAGGGACCCAAACTGGATCTGGGCTTCAAGGAGGGACAAACCATCAAACTCAACATTGCTGTGAGGGCCTTTCTTTCCCAGCTGATCCCAGCTTTTCCTTTGGGTGCCACGAGGAAGCAGCAGCTCCTCCCCAAAATCCCTGGGCACAAGCTCAGGGCAGAGCCCGTGGGGATAACGCTGCCTGCAGGGGTTGTGGTGCAATCAATCCCTGCTGCCAAAACCAGGCCTGTGGGATCTGGGGTGAAATCCACCCCTACTAGGACCCCTTTGGATGCACCAGCAGTGGGACATGGCAGCAGTGCAGGGTTTTATTCCCAAATTAAA